ATCCAGGGTGCTGAACTTTACCTTGAACGGTTGGCCCAACTCCGTCCAAGACAAGGTGCTCCGGCCCTACTTTGACAAGAGGGACCAGCTATCCACAGACCAAGGATGTCTTCTGTGGGGGTGCCGAGTCATCATACCACCATCAATCAGAACGCGACTGCTGCATGAACTCCACGAGGTCCACCCAGGCACAAGTCGCATGAAGGCCAAGGCTCGGAACCATCTTTGGTGGCCAGATTTCTCCTGAGCTACCGCAGTACTCCGCATACTATAACAGAGAGGACACCGGCTGAGCTATTCCTCAAGCGGCCACTTCGAACCCGTCCTGACTTGATAAAGCCAAGTATGGAGCGGACCGTCGTCAAGCATCAACGCCAGCAGCAGTTGGCGCACGACAAATCGCGAAGACCACTTCGTAGCTTTGATTCGGGTGATTGGGTCCTCGTGCGAGGCGTGAGAGGCCATCAGCACTCGTGGTCACCAGGCATTATTGTTTCCCGACGAGGACCACTGTTGTATCTGGTGGACGTTCGAGGACGCACAATCTCCGTTCACTTGGACCATATTTTACGACTAGATGCACAACCACCAAGTCGTGAAATATCAGGCCCACAGCCGTGGATGCTCTTGGATCCAACTGCTAGTCCTGGAGCGTCTACGTTAGCAGATGGAGATTTGCCTTGTCCAGCAGCAACCGCCCCACCTCCAGTGGTGCAGAGAGGGTCGGCCGGCGACACCTCCTCAACGCCGGCTGAACCTTCAACTCGGTACCCGCAACGCATTCGGCGTCCCCCAGACAGACTTGGAGCGCTGCCTGACCTGCCGGCTGCTGGAGTGCCCCTGGAACTTAACAACTAAACCTGGAGGAATGTGGTAACTCGGGCAATGGAGGAAGAGAACGTGCACGAGCGGACGGGCGAGCTCGAGCAATCAGGAACCGGCCACCATCGGGCAAGCATCGTCTAGCACAGCCTAACCTGTATAAATATGTAAATAAACCGCGATTTACTACAGTACACAAACAATCTCCCAGACTTTCCTGCCCTTACCTTCATTTGTGAGACATTACTTTTGTACGCCGAAGTGATTTTACTTTTCCGGGGCCCATGCGTACAAAATAGTTCCTGACCGGAATGACCATTAAGTTGGTCAGAGTATCTGACAGCAAAGGGTTAACACAATATTAAAAAAGTTAGTTACGCAAAAATAATTAAAAACTTAATTATCCCGGATTTTAACAATTTTCCTAAATAGGTCCCTGGCCCAGGACCAAAACGACACAAGTCTTTTTTTGTTGCGACGCGCAGTTTTTGCAATATCGAATTTGTCTACCTTTAGTGAAACACCCTGTATAACTGAATTTCTAATGATTGTTACAAAAAAGAAAAAAAAAGGAGCGCATCGTTGTTACAAAAGTTGCTGCGTTTGAGCGGATGAGACCGGTCGCAGCGGATGCAACGTTAAAACGTTGGACAAAATCTCGTCCCAGCCCACTGATCTCCACTAGAGGAAGCTGGATGGCGCATTGAGCAAAGACGGCTCTGAAGGCTATAGATTAAACAAAACAGTTATTGCCAAAGAAAGCATTTATGACAATTCTAGGGGAAGCTCATTGTTGTTTGAGGCGAGGACGGGTGTTCTGCGAACCAGAACATACAGAGTGAAGTACTAGGAAATGGATACAGTGTGCACTGCTTGTGGAGAGGAGGACGAGATTAAGTGAATGGTGGCAGAAATCGAGAGAAAACTAGGTATTTTCTTATTCACTGATGGCAAGGGGGTTTCATAGCCTCACTTTCTTTGCACTGCGGAGTGAATATAGATTTCACATTTAAATATTCTAAGCTTAAATGGGAAAACAAAATGGCTAGGTGGCGTAAGCTACCGCGCGATCCAAAGGGCTCAGCCGTATTCATCCATCCATCCATCCAGCAAACAGGTATGAAGCCACCGGAAGTGAGCGGCTTGTCCCGGAAGTGAGCGCTTGGCAGGCTTTGTAACCCTTCCGAGTGCTGGTTTGAAAAACTCCAGGGCGCTGGATTTTCGTTTGTTCCCTCAAGAGAGCCTGCTTGTTGCGCAGCAAGAGCGCATGCGGACCCGAGAAGTATCGTGGGAAGCCATTCAATGTAAACATTTTGAGATTCTAGTTGATCAAGTTTTGAATATGTCCCAAGTTCAAATGCCTCATTCTCGGGATTTAATCCAGAACGGGAGTATTAAACCCAATCAAAGATACAAAAAAGCATGGTCCAAAATATCGACTGAATGCACTAGGAAGCCCAGCGCACGCCCAACTTCCGGGACAAGCATTGAACTTTCGGTGGCTTCACTTGCGCCAGGCTCGGAGAGCAGCTAAGCGCCATCCAGCCCCCTATAGACCTTTCCAAAAAGTGCTTTCTGGCAGCCGCCATTTTGCGAATCGAGCGACCCCTATCGGCCAGAAATTTCTGCCACCCGCCTGAGCAGTGGAGACCCGGTCAGCGTGACTCCCCACCTGCATTGTGCATTCAGAGTTCGCCGGTTTTTCTTGGAAGTTTTTACTTTTTTCACCTGTTTAGGATGCTTACCCTTTGTGTGTTATCTTCCACTGTGAGAACCAGAGAATACCAGTGCTCGTAGCTTGCTCGGCCTTCGCAGGAAACAAACGAAGAGAGTGACCGTCAAGCAGCCCACGACGCGGGCAGTTCGACGTTCTTGGAGGATTATTTTTATTGAGATAACCTTTAAAAAGCCTTCCCGGCTATGTTCTGGGTCTTCGCGAAAAATAGCTGATAGGGTCGGGTCCGGGGTGTGGTGACGGAATAGACCCGTTCCTTTATTTGCTTTGAAACTGTGCAAAAAAGCGGCTCTCATCTACATGTGCCCCAAAGCACACCGGATTGCGTCCGATCGTCGTGAAGTGACTATCGTCGACAGTGTATATTGAATATGCTGTGTTATTTGAGACCTTTCTGAATTCCTGTTCGGATAACGCGGCACCGTGGGGTATGTGTAATATATGTTGTTCGATTGATGAGACTCGTTGAATGGTTCATGCAGTGGGCAGAGAATATCCATCCAGTTTGGATATCCTATGTGGTGAAATATTTTTGACGGTTAAGACCTTTGTAGTTTGACATGACTGAGTGTATGGTGCCGTAAAATGATCAACATAAAATGAAACAAACCTTCCAGTTGCATTTGTTGTGTCGTGCACGGACTCACCAAAACAGCTCTCATTTCTTTGTTTTGATTCACAAAAATAATATAATGCATTCCTAAAAACCCTTAGACATTATGTTCCCCATAGAACACAAAATAAAAAATAGAACGCGGCAATTTAGCCTCCACAAGTGTCCGGAAGTGCGCCTATGCAGGCTGCCACAGTACCCCGACTAGAAAACCCACAGCTCAGTGCAGTCGGGCAACACTGACGTACAGTCGGGGACAAAAGTCTCCAGGACACGCGAGCTGCGACTGAAACGCATTGCTCTGCCATCTGCCGGTGGGTCGCCTGGTTTCGAGATCACAGAAAAGCGCATGCGCGTCCTACTGTGCGTGCCAACATGTGTGCTTTCCCGCTCTTCTGCGGTGCGGCGCCTAACTCGGAATCGGGCGCGGGGTACTGCCTCGGAGATAGCGCTTACTGACATGGCACTTATAAAACAAGAGGTCACGGCAACTCAGATGAGCGATAAACTTAACTGGTTATAAAGCAAGGTGCGCTGACACAACGAAATGAGGCGCAATGCCCCAGGCGGTATCTCGTGTTTCGGAATGTGTAGCAGACGCTCGTAAGCCGCCAGCGCTACCTCCGAGGCGGTGCCACGCGCCCGATTCTGAGTTAGGCGTTGTGCCGCAGAAAAGCGGGAAAACACACATGTTTGCAGACAGAGTAGGACGCGCATGCGCTTTTGTGTGATCTTGAAACCAGGTGACCCGCCGGCAGATGGCAGAGCAATGCGTTTGAGCCCAGAGCCGTTTATCGAGAGAGTTTGGCCATACTTTGGTTTGAATAGGCGAGCATCTCGGGGCCAACCACAGGCCGCGAAACAGCCCCTAGCGGTGGTTGTGAGCTCTAAATTTGTGACACGACTAATTCAAGCCGTTTTAGCGTCGCTAGAGTTAAAAGGTGTAACTCTCAGTGACTGAAAACTTTGTGCGTGCGAGGTTTTCGTCACGCCAATATTCAAGTGTAGAATAAACGAACGTGCGCTCCAAACCAGGGCCAACTTGCTAGAAACAGCGTCTCAGCTGAGACGGTGAAAGAAAGCACTGCCAAAGCCAGCGCACGAGCCGAGCGGGACACCGCGTCTCCAGGACGCTGTTCTAACAAGCCAACATCAGCAGTGCAGAGAAAGGAGGGGGCACGAGCGCGTGGCTTTGCAAAGTGGCTCCTACGCACGAGTTCACATAGTAACAAAAGCGTTCTGCTGAGCTAGGTTCACGCGCCTGTACCTTTGTCTTCACTGCCGACATTTGTGAGATGGAGCAGAGAGGCCGAGATTGAACGCCTCTATTTCACGCTTTGAATGTCGTTTGCAATATTCTGACGTCGCGGTCTCCTGATTGGTCGACGCTGTGTCACAAATTTAGTTTACGCTCTAAGCGCGGGGGGAATATTCGGCGCTGGCGGCGGCCTTTGCTCCGCCTGTTGGCCAAACTCTCCCAATACACGGCTCTGTTTGAGCCGCAGCTCGCGTGTCCTGGAGACTTTTGTCCCCGACAGTACCTTCTCAAAACCAGGGACGCGCACTGTAAATCGCTTCGTTCGAGACTGCCGCTGGAAAGGTCTGTAGTAGAGATCAGTGTCCCAGCCTTTTAAACACAACAGCTCCATTTAGACGGCCGACCGGCGGCAGCATCGGCGATGTTTTAAAATGACCTCTAGGGCACGCCTGGTGAATGCCGTGTAGCAACGAGCTCGACCCGACTTTGACGTCCTTACCAAGAGAAACTAGAGCACTTTTGACTGGTTTGGAATTATTTTAAGCAGAAAAAAAAAAGGCGTCAATACATACGTAGTGAGGATTTTTGGCCACAGCCAGACCAGTGAGCCCGGTCGTCTGCAATGGAAGGACTGTTTGTGAAGCCTTGCGGCGCTTTCAAATGACGGCACATTTTTAGAACATTATTAGATCACTTATATTTAAACCATGATACACTACTGTTGTTTCTCGTTTTGCAGTATTCAGCCTGAGCAAATAAACGATTGACTTTGAGCTTACCTTCTTCAAAACACCGGCCATGTTTTTCTCTGAAACAAGAAACAGCGTCCCCTGGCAAGGCAAAACCGCAGACGGTAAACCGTGGTCACGGTGTAGGACCGTGACCGTGGTGAACGTACTTATCCAATATATTATTTTCCCTTATTGATAAACATTCGTTTATTTGAAACTAAACGCGCCATGGGTAGTTTTTATTATTTTAGTTTTGTTAATTTCTTAATAAGTTGCGACGTTTTACGAAGTTGTTTTTCACGAGGAAAGTGTAGCAAAATGGTGGTTGTTTTCTTTTTCGCCTCCAGGGGGCTGCAGGATTCTGTCACTGTGCCGTGCGGTGAAGAGAACTCTCCCAGTAAAGTTGTCAAAGGCGATCGCCGATCGAGTTGCAGGCGCGTTTGAAAGAAAACGATGTTGAAAATTGGTTTTATTTAGTTTCCAGAAGAATAAACACACTGCAAAGGATTCCGGGAATATAAGGTAAGCGCTAAATTTTGTTCCGGTCGTTTCGTTTATCGAAAAACAACAAGGTTTTCCTCTCAAAAATTTTTTTTTTGCTCCCGGTTATTGAAATATTTAATTAGTGGTTTTGTTTAAATACTAGGGGTGCTTGTATTATTTATGCTAGGATATAGGGTGAAATAATGGTACGCCGTCGTTACGTAGCGTTTCTTCGTAGCGTTCACCTTGTTTTATTTTCGCCAACGAATTTTAATTTGAGTTTCATCCCTTAGCACTCCGAGACTCGTACGTTCAGAGCGCGATATTTTACCATATTTATTCGCAGAAAACCAGCGGTTACGACGCGTTCGAAGCCTTTAAATTGCGGCGAAAAAATATCGAGCGATCTGTGGGTTTCCCGGAGAAATCTGACTGATATTTCGCAAGAGATGCGCATCTCACTCTTGACAGCGGCACCGCAAAGTCATGTCTCCAATGCGAAACTTTACTTCGCGTAGCGGCCGTTAGTCCAGCGGCGCTGGTGTCGGGACCACCCCCACGTACCGCTAACTACTACCGTTAACCACGCACTGACGGTACCGTATCGCGATTTCCCGGTAAAATCCGCGGCGGTTACTCGGGACCTGGCATACGAGACGTGTCCGCCTCCGAAGCGAACGCACCTGTGTCCCCTATTCGAAAGACGCAAATTTCTCGGCGTTTAGGACGGTCCGGAACGCTTTTAGCGACGGTAAACGGAAATAGCAGACGACGCTGCGTCGTCTGCTGTTCCGTTAACTTTGACCGTTCGCGAGTTACGAGATGTTTTCGGTTGGGTCGTAAAGCGTTTCCCTCGATGCTTTCCGCGAGGTCGTGGGGATTAGCAAGGGCGACCCGCCGGCTCCTCGGCGGCGTAATGCGTACTCCGCGGAATCGTGGCTGGGCCCGTCGTCGTCTCAATCGATGTGGGAAGCGGAGGGGGGCAACGCCCCGAACTTGGACCCCCGCGTTCCCCTCTCGCCGCCTGGGGCGCTCGTACGAGTCGCGATGCGGGTATTGATTGGACGGACCCGCGGCAGTCTCGCCTAGTCTGCCTTTTTTTGCTGTGATACAGCCCACTTTCCATTGGTTTATACTGCCGCTACTAAACATCCTATTCTTTATGGGGAGCCTGGAGTTGGCGTTGTCCGGGAGAGCGCCCGTGCTGGGACCCCTGGGCGCCCGTAGCGGAGCGTTTTAATATGGGCAATGGGTGCTATTTTTAGGCCCATTGACCCAGTTTTAGAGAGCCTCCCCCCCCCCCCCCCCCCCCCTCCTTGTCTCCCCTTTCCCACTTCGGGAAGGGTGTAGGGCCAAATTACTGTTAAACTTTTGGTTTTTGAAAGGAATGTCGGCTGGTGAATAGAAATAAAAGTTTGCATTTGGAAACTGTCAGTTTCTCTCTTGAAAAAGGAGCAGGGTAATTGTAATTAGACGTTGCAGACTATAAACAGAGGTGTTGTTTTGTATATCCCTGTGTTTATACTTTCAGTGATGTTCTCTCGAAAGCACACCATAAAATACTAAGTAAGTGCCACCCAAAATTTTGGGGTAATCTTTATAAGTGCCTGTTAGTCTATGAGAGAGAAGAAAATGAGGGCGCGTGATAGGGTGGGTTTTACTGCTTTGCACCAGAGTGTTGGGAGAAGTTGCTAGCTATAAGGGGAATCTTGGTTAGGTTGGGCGCTTGTTATGTCTTTTGATTGGTTTTAAACTGTTTCAAAAGTGGTGGATGGGTGCTTCCTGTGACATAAATATATACTCGGTATTTCATGGTAGTTACGTAAGCATACTTCCGTAAAATAGAGCGTGCAACCATGCTAGCCCAAGTGCTCGTCTCTATTCTCTTCTTGTCGTGATTTTCGGAATTGCTTAGACCCACCCCCATATTTGCTCGGTGACAGGTTATGAATTCAGTACGGCCTACAGTGCAAGCTTTTTGCCTCTGGTAACACTTTGATTACAAATACCTACGAAGCACTTGCTTGGTACCGAGTAAAAGTTTTAACTTGTGCCCCAATAATGAATGTAAACAAAATCAGATATGAAAATGAGACATTTTATGTGATGACAACTGAGGGTAGTGGATCAGGCAATCGGTGCTTGTATACAGTATTGGTACACTGTTTGTTCAGTTTGTCTGAGACAGAGAAAACAATAGCAGTGTGGGCACACAAGTTTTGTACCTCGACAGATTGTCAAGTTAATTTGTTTCTTCATGCATCCCTAGACAAGGGGTTGAGATTTTAGTATGTATGTCATATATAGCTAAGGTTCCATGCTTTCAGGATTCATGTTTCTTCAACTTTGTGGTGTTTTCTCTGTGTTTATTTTCTTCTTGAGAGTTGTCATTTGTTTGGTGTATAACAAAATATGAGTTTGTATTGGAGTTTATGTAAAACAAAACAAAGGATATGGTCATGGAAGTCTCCAACCTTGAGGGAATCTCCATGTGACCTGATAGAAATAAAAGCTACAAAAAAACATAAAACAGGTGCAACAAAAGAAGCACTTGTGACAGGACCTTTTTGTAGCTGTTATTCCCATCATGTTAAACTATTACCAACTCGCCCAGTTCAACACTTGCATAGATGACCCGAATACGTGAAAAATATCACCGTCGAGACAAAAAAATGAGATAAGAGATGTGGTTTCCAAAGAAAAAAGGCATCTTTATGAATTGTTCTGTGGGGGCAGTGTTCTAAAAAAACACAGACTAAGCCGACGACGACATGCGATGCAGGCCCTAGGAACCTTGAGGTCACACTGGCATCGGAACGGCTACGCCTGACCAGCTTCCAACATACATTATAAGTGTTTGCCTTCTGCTTTAGCTGGCAGATCATAGCTGGCAATATGTTTAAATGAATGAATGATGCTGATGGCGATGCGTCGTCAGCATCATTCTGCTGGTTTAGCCTTTGCTGGTTTAGCCTTGAGGCTAAGCCAGCATCAGGACAGCAGCACTTGGCAAACCGCCGACATACCGTAATATACCGCGAAAGTGCCCTTCTCGTTCAAGCGCCCACTGTTAACAATTTCCAAACTTGGGAGTTCAACATATTATACTTTAAAGGACCCCCCAGCGCTACTACATCGTGCTGAAGGCTCTCGGGAAGATTTGTTTGCTTGTTTCATACTTTTTCGAGCAAAACCCACGCTGGTAGCGTGGGTTTTGCTCGAGAGCACACAGGCACATGTGCATGTGCCTGTGTGCTCTTGTGCGAGCATCCGTGAGCATCCGTCATCACCAGCTGCGTCCGTCACATTTTTATTTATTTATTTATTGATACTGTCGGCCCTTTACAAGGCCTTTACAGGAGTGGTAATACATACAAGAAGTAAAAGAACAATCATGCACTGACACTTCAAAAAAGTGATTCACCCGGAGGAATAAAAAAGCAAAAGAAATACATTCAAAACACAAAGTCACGGCACATTATCAAGCACTATACTCTTTATATTTTTAACGAAATCACAGACATTTGTCATAGTGACGACAGAATTCGGGAGTTGGTTCCATTCCTTTATTGCCCTAGGAAAGAAACTAAATTTAAAACAATCATTTTTGACAGATGGTTCCCTGATGTGCATGCTATGACGATGTCTCGTACATTCACTGACGCGTACGTCCATGTAATTATTTTTGTCTATCTTAACTAGACCATGAATGATCAAAAAAATAAATTTCAGGCGGTCGCACTTTGTTCTTAATTCAAGAGAAGGAAGTTCAGCAAGTCTACAGAGTTCAGTGGGGGAATGGTTACGATTATATTTATTAAAGATAAACCTGGAAGCAAGCCGCTGGACTTTATCAAGTTTCGACGAGTTAGCTATTGTACATGGATCCCACACTACTTTTGCGTATTCAAGGATAGGTCTCACCAGTGTTTTATAAGCTAATGTTTTTATTTCTGGCGAAGCACTTGCAAGATTTCTTCTGAGGTACCATAGTGCCTGGTTAGCTTTTCTGGACACTTTTTCCGTGTGTGTATTCCATCTTAAGTCGCTTGTAAAGGTAACTCCTAAGTACTTATTTTCATCTACACGAGGTAGGTTGGTGTCATCTATAAAGTAATCATAATTTAGGATATGTTTTTTTCTTGTTATAGACATAACGACTGATATTGAGGGTTTAACACCATTTGCCACTCGTCGCACCAATGTTTGATTTTGAGGAGTTCATTTTGCGGTTTTGGTTGATCTTGTTCAGTTTCTATTTTATTGTACAAAATACAATCATCCGCAAACAGCTTAATTGGAACTGATATTCCACAGCGTATGTCGTCTATAAATATTAAAAATAAAAGCGGTCCTAGCACACTACCTTGTGGAACTCCAGAAGCAACTGGAGCGGGTCTAAACACACAGCCTCCCAACTCAACGAATTGAACTCTCGATGAAAGATACGAGCAAAACCAGTTTGTAATGATGGGGTTCTTAAACAAGGCGTTAATTTTAAGCAACAATTTAGGATGAGACACTTTATCGAATGCTTTTGCAAAATCTAAAAATATGACGTCCGTTTGGCCACGGTTATTTATAGATTGGGAAAGATCGTGCACGGTTTTGATGAGTTGGGTCGTTGT